CATAACACTTACTTAAGTGGAGACCAATTCAAGAGTGAATCTTCTGTTGAATGTTATGCTCGATGTCTTCAGATGGGCTGCAGATGTATTGAATGTGAGTTCAATTGTTTGATAATCTATTAATTTTCTAGCTGTTGCTTAATATTTAAATTTTAATGACTATAGATTCTATAGTATAAAATAATTCTAATTGAATTTTCATTAGTCTTAATATTACTAACAATTATTACACTAAATATTAAGATATTAAAGTTGGTTTTAATAAACTTCCTTTCTAAGTAAAACAGATTACTAAAAATTAAAGCATATTTATCAGCATTAGTGATATTTTAATATTAATCTAGTCAAGTAAGATATTAATGAGGAATGTTATCAAATGATACTAAATGACCTCAAATTGTAGTGGACTGTTGGGACGGACCCGAAGGAAAGCCGCTTATATATCACGGCCGGACTTTAACTTCACGAATCCGTTTCATTGATGTGATCATAACCATTAAAGCCCATGCATTTAGTGTATCTGAATTTCCATTGATTTTATCCATTGAAAATCATTGCAGTCTTAAACAACAGCAATATATGGCAAAAGTTTTTCGTGAAGTATTTGGCGGTACAGTAATACTTTTCAATACAATTACTGTATTACAGTAATATAGTGTACAGTATACTATAATAAGTTTTCCAATACCTATAGATTCGTTGTTAACACAACAACTGGATTTAAATGAGGAGCTAATGCCTTCTCCTAATCAATTAAAGGGTAAAATCATACTTAAGGTGAGTTTATTAGTATTAAACTTGATAACTAAGTAGTAAGTACATTAGTAAATTAGTAAGTAATATTTTACTAATTATTAAATTAATTTGAACAGCACAAAAAACTATCAAAAAGTTTAGAACCTACAAGTCCTATAAAAACTGATGAAAGTAATGAAGGGGACCTGGATATTAGCAATTCTATAAAGAATGGCATTCTTTATATTGAGGATACCATTGAAAAGGTTTGAAAACGGTTTCAAATTATTAATCAAGATTGTGTAAAATAGACAATAATTGCTCTCATTATATAGAAATGGAAATCAAATTACTTTGTATTGACGCGAGAAAAGCTATATTATGTCGAACCCAATGCTGATGAAGAGGACGAGGACGAGGAGGAAGAGAACATTTATGGCTCAAGAGATTCGGTTCAGTTGTATGAAGACAGTGCCTATGAGTTACACTACGGGGAGACCTGGTTTCACGGAAAACTCAGGGTATAAAATAGTAGTATTTTATAAGTAAGTGATTTGAAATTTGTCATTTTATGAATACGTGGAAAGCGAGATAAGGCTGAAATATTACTACAGAGGTATTTGTGCGGTAATAACTGCACTGACGGCACATTTCTGGTCAGGGATAGCGAATCAAATTCTGGTGATTTTTCATTATCATTCATATACCACAACCAAATAGATCACAGTCGCATATTCCACACCAAAGATAATGACCACAAGACATATAGACTTAATAAATATGTCGCTTTCACCAGTCTTTACGAACTAATAACCCATTACCAGACACATCCACTCAGGAGTAAAAAGTTTAAGGAATTATATTTGACAACTCCTGTCCCGCAACCAAATTCACACGAAGACAAGGAGTGGTTCTACAAGAATATGAGTCGATCTCAGGCCGAGGATCTGCTCCGAAGACTCAGAAATAACGGCGCTTTCCTCGTCAGACCGAGTGAGAGATCAAACTCTGAAGATGAAAACCTTTTCGCCATTTCCTTCAGGTATTGAAATGAATTGTTTAAATAAAAATTTTTTACAACTTTTGGTACTCATTCAGAGCTGAAAATAAGATAAAACACTGCCGTATAAGACGTGAGGGAAGACTGTATGTCATCGGAAGCGCAGAGTTTGAGAGTCTAACAGAACTTATTGAATACTACGAGAAGAATCCTCTTTATAGGTTTGATTGGATATAAAATTACAATTTGTACACAATTTTTAATTTCTTAATAGAAAAGTAAAACTTAAATTCCCGGCCACTGAGGAAATTGTTGGAAAACTTGGAGGGGTTAGTGATATCAAGACTTTGTTTTAATAAATAATTATACTGGTACATTTGATTGAAAGGAACCCGATTTGGAGTCTCAATGCAATTATATGAATCCCAAAAATTCAACGATTAAAGTGAAAGCATGTTATGACTATCAGGCGAACAACGACGAAGAGTTGTCTTTTACCGCCGGCGATATAATCACAAATGTGGTCAAACAAGACCACGGATGGTGGAGGGGTGACCTCAACTCAAGGATTGGCTGCTATTTTCCATCCAATTTTGTCGAAGAGATAGAAGACGAAGAGTTGAAGACATTTGATTCAGTATTGAAGGCAATCTAAAATGAATGATATTTTAAGTAACTTTTGGATTACAGAATAAATTCTCGTGGGATCTAAAGCATGGGTCCATTGAACTCGACGCCAATAATTTGGTTCTCATAGCAAACGTACAGAACAAGAGCCGCGAATGGGTTTTCCGTTTGGGAACTCTTGAGATATCCGCTCAGAATGAAGAAGAGATGAAGGAATGGGTGAATAAAATACAAGAAACTATTCAATTAAATAAAGCCAAAGTATGCATGCAATTACTGTTCATATGATATCAATAATATCTTAATCAATCTTAAATATATTCATAGCTGAGAAATAGCAAAGAATTGAAGCAAAACCTGAAAATAGCACCGGAACTAAATAGTCTTATCGTATACTGTAGTGCCGTTCCCTTCAATGGATGTAAGTCTTCCATCACTTTTATAAATATTTCTTAATTTGATTGTTTTCAGTGAAAAGAAAAGTATTTTGAAAACATTTAATTAAAAATGTTGGAGTCGTGACAATGAATGTTGTTATCTTTATTATTATACACATTCTGTCACTTGAATTCATTCTTTGCACATTATTTTAAAATCTTATCTCAAGTTATAAAATCTTGGCGATATTTCAAACTATAAACTTCTAATGAATTTGTTCATAAATTATTAATAATTTTTAAAAGGGGTTGACAATCTAGGCAACATGTTTAACTTAAACTATTAAACAAATATTAATCAAGATAAATATACTATTCATTTGATAGGTTCTACACATTTTACGGAAATGTCTTCCTTTCACGAAATTAAAGTGGAAAAACTCATAAATCCAAACAATTTTAAAAACATTTTAAAATACAATGAAAAGCAATTGAGTAGAGTTTACCCGAAAGGATCTCGTCTGGACTCTTCAAACTA